CGTGTGGGTCATCCACACGTACAGAGCCCTCTGGGATGCTCCGAGAGCAGCAGATTTGTGATGTGTGTGATCACAAGCCTTCGCTTCATTGTGTTCCCTGAGCACATGCTATTGCTGGGGTTCACTTCTAATTGTGCCACAGGGCAAGTTGCTTTCCTTCTTCCCTTACTCCTTTGCTTGTGGGTTGCATTTTCTTGTAGATTGCCCAGTGGCCTCCTGGATATTCAGAGAGCTGTTATGCTGTAACTGGACCATAAATAAAATCAATATAGCAAAGGGCAGAAAATCCACTTCCTCCCTATTTTTACCTGTAATTTTTTGTGACTCACTTCTAAGTTAAAAAAACCCCCAAACAGAACAGACCTTTGAAACTTTGCATTTGGTCACAGATCAGTGTAAACTCAGGACTCGGCTTTGCCCACTGGGCTCTCGGAGCCCAGGATAACACAGTCATGAGATGACAGACAGCTGGCCCCACGCCAGCCCCGTGCCCTGTGCCAAGTGCTGGTTCCATCACGGAGAGTTTAAGGAACGTGACTAAAATGACGGAGAAAGCCTTCTCCCCCAGAGCAGGGCCCATCACCCAGCCAGCAGCCCAGAGAGGATATTTGTCAGCTCAGCTCAGTAGTCTCCAGAAAATGTACGATCAAGGGCATAATTTTAAAAAGCTGCCTGTGGTTAATGAACGGACTCAAGATCTTGACAGCTGGAGAGACAGGTGGTGGGTGGTGACACCTTTCCTCTGAAAGGACTTTTGGTTTGGGGGGAAAAGGGAGCATCTCAGTCTGTAAATGATCTGTCGTTTGGGCAGTTATGTGACTGTTGGGTTTAATATGATTTTCAAACCTCTTCAAGTAAAGACAGTTTAATGCAATTATCTACTGATAGTGAACAAACACATATCCATAAAAAATAAATTCCTACAACACATTTACTTAAAGACATACTAGCAGGAAAAGGCTTCTTTTTTGTAAAATAACAAGGGAAAGAAAAATAAAGAACGAACGGAACTGTTTTATTCTTTTAAAAAATGGCAGAAGAGGACAGTTCAGCTTTGCTTCTCCCCAGCTGCTGAGCTCCAGCAGCCCCTCAGGCTCCAGCAGCCCCTCCTACCCAGGCAGCCCCTCAGAGCTGGCAGGGCATCCACAGAGCTCTGCAGGGCGTGAGGAACCCCATTCCAGAGCAGCACTGAGCTTCATTCCTGGATCTGCTGGGAAAGGCCTTCGGAGAGGGACTTCTCACCCTCCTCTGTTTACCCTGCCACCGCTTGTTTTGGGTTGTTTGGTTTTTTCTACCTTGAGAGCTTGTTTTCCGTGACAAGATCTGCCTGTTTCAGTGGTGACACCAATATCTCCCCTGTTTTTTAATAGTTACTATAACATAGCAAGCTAATGATCACTGGGTTTATTTTAGATATCTGCTTTGGGAGGGCAAGAGTCAGTAAAACTTATTTTACAGCTAAAAATCACTGCATGGGTTTAACAAAAGTAGAACAAAATTCAAGAGAAACTTTGCAATGTTTTCACAGGGGAAGTGAGAGTCTAATTCTGTGGCTGCCACTGCTGGATTCTGTATGTGGGGCACTTCCCGCTGGGAAGGAGTAAGTAAGACAATGTAGAGTTAAAAAAATAAAAGTCCTAAACTTACTGTAAGATGAGAACTTGAGAACATGCTAAAACTCAACAATAGTTTATGGAAGGTCACAATTTTGCAAACACCAAGCCTAACCCTACAAACAGGATCACTTGGTGAGCCCCACCCCAGCTCAGGGCAAGGGGCAGCTCACAAGTGCCTTCAGCCCCTTCTGTGCTGGCTGAAGGCATATGGACACTCAGCCTCAAAAGTGGAGTTTGCCATTTGGAAAGTACCATTAAATATTTGGAAATACAAAAATTGTGCAGAATTACAACTGAAAAAAACTTTTATTCAAAAGGAAAGCAAATATTTCTCTCTGCAGTTGTAAAAATGCAGGAGGAACAGGATCCCTGAGAGTGTGGGCTCTGGCCAAGCACAGGGCCAGCCATGCCATTTCAGTCTTCCTAAGATGGAGAAAGTACCAGTACTCGTATGCACACGTTGGGTTTGGGTTTACAGTGAAAGGAACACTATAAAAGAAGAACCACAGATGAAATTTTCAGTTCAGGAACAAGTAACAGGTAACCAACCTCCCAGTACGCTGAATTTAAATGTTACTCTCCATACTGAAGTCACCAGAGCTCCCTCATACAGAGCTTTATGTGTTGGAAGGAAGGGAGCTAATTGGTGAGTGATCAAAGATTTCTGCCTGGTAATTTACAATCATTTTGGGTCAGGACTCCTGTGGAGAGGAGAAGCAAGCACCAGTAGGATGCTAAATGATGAAAGGCTCCTATGGAGGCAGTCATATATTCACCCAAAGCTCCTGTAAAAATGCAGCAATCTCCTAAGGATTATAAATCTGCTGTTCTGCAGAGGAGCCCCAGGGTCAGCACTGTGCATCCTCTGTACTGCAGAAAGGGAAAGTAACAAAGGCTTCTCTCTCCTTTCTGCACTTTCCCTGCCAGTCATCGTGTCTTTTCCCAGGCTTTAGAGCCTCTCTATTTGCCATCACCAGGTGACTGATTTTAATAGCATGAGTTGCATAAGTGAAACTACTCACATACAGCAACCTGCATGGAATCCCCCTCTGAGCCCACCAGCACCACCAGAGCCCTCCCCTCCCCAGGCACACACTGCCATGGTCACCACCTCTACAGCTGCAGAAACACCGCTCCCTGGAAAGTGCTCAGAAAAGGCCATTTTAATCCTGCAGATACTCATTTCTCACAATGGTTATTTTCACAGCAGTAACACGATTAATGAAGATTGGTGATTTACCTAAATTGTTCACAATGGAAGGATCAGAGAGTGGCTGGGTGCTGGAACAGGCTCCCCAGGGAAGTTGTCACAGCACCAAGGCTGACAGAGCTCAAGAAGCATCTGGAGGATACTCTCAGGCGTATGGTGTGACTCTTGGGGATGGTCCTATGCAGGGCTAAAGTTTGGACTTCATGACCCTTGTGGATCCCTTCCAGCTCAGGATATTCTGTGGTTCTGTGGTTCTGCGACTCTGTGATCAGATAAGCACTACAAATATCCCTGTACCTTGCTGGAAGGTGATCTGTCCCCAGCCATGCATGACATGGGAGGGGAGGAGAGGCTCCTGCCAGCAGCTGGTGGGTTGTGAGATTTGCAGGCCCCTGAGCAGTTCTGCAGACCTGACCCAAGGCTGAGCTTTTACACCCCATGCCACCTGGCACAAAACCCAGTAGACGGTGTCTTCACAGCTCTAACTGTGAGTCCACATGTGCATCTCTGTGCCATGGAAAGGAGCACCTGCTGCCTTCATGGCCTGGCTCATCCAGGCACAGCCAGCAGGGAGATGGAACCACTGATGGAGCTGCCGCTTCGCTCAGCTGGTGGAACTGTGCACAGAAAGCACCTCTGCTCCTGCAGGGTCACAGCACCACTGCGGGCAGGCCTGGGCACAACGAAGGCCTGGGGATGCTGGGCACTCCCCAGACACTCTGCCAGCCTCTGCCAGGGCCAGGCTCTGCTCTGTCTGCCCACACCACGCTGAAGCAGATGTCAGTATGGCTGCATGTGCTGGGCTGGATTTAACTGTCAGAGCTCTGTGGACCAAACTGTCTTTATACTATTAATAACTGAAAGGGAGTGTTTCATACTACTGTAAAGTGTGCTGTGCTGGCAATTTCAACTGATTTTAATAATCCTAGAAAATTTTTTCTCCCACTTTCTCCCGATTTGAAAGCTCAATTAATTTTGAGCTACAATGCTGTCTATCATTTCAACCACATGTGGCAGAGTGAGAATTCATGTGAGATAGCAGTTAATTTTTGGTATCTTCTGCAGCCTAATGACAGGTGTGCTGTCCTAAATAATTATCTTTCACAAAGGGATCCCCTTAACCCTTCTCTGAAACTGTGTAGTGATCTCAGTTTTACTTCATTAAGCTCTTGACAGCTCAATGTACTCACATCTGTTACTGTTTGGTAGTTTGATTCCAAGAACACAAATCGCTTCAAGAACTGGCAACAAATTCATTCAGGCTCATGATGCAGATCAAAATCCATCTGTTTACTAATCAAAAGCCATATTTTAATCGCAGTACAGCAGTGGTGTCAGCAATATCCTAACTTAGATGTTCTCTCTGCCCTAAACATGATAGGTAGAACTCTTCCTGTAAGCTGCATTTATTTGAATTGGATTTAAAATGCATCCAAGGATTCTGGAGTCCTATACTTCAGCCCTTGCCTACAGGATCTGATCAATCTGCTCACCCTGGACTGGGCCATCAGACATTTTATACCTGCAAGCTGAACCTCGAAGTCTATTACATCAGTCACTTCTAGTATGATTCTAAATTATATTAAGAGACAAAAACAATGTGATGAATCAAAATTTAACTTAAGTTTCCAATTATTTGTTTATATGGAGTAAAATCTTTTGCCTGATAAAGATGACTAATGTCTACAAAAGTCCACCTGTGCTCAGGTGTCCCAGAAGGATTAACGGAAGAACTGCAGCTTCATCATTTACAAAACCTGGAGAACAGCTCGTGCTAAATCTGGCCAAACCCCACAGGATCAAACCTGGGGCAAATGAGAGAGAATCTCACATTTCAAGATGTTTGGCTTAGCCTGGGAGGGCTGAAGGGAGTCCTTGTGGATTATGATGGGGAGGGTCTGGGTAGATAACAATGAATTTGTGTTTGAAACAGGGAGGCTGTTTTTGCTGTACAGGCATCAGGACACCAGATCTCAGCTGACACTACAGATGGTTTTAGAGGTTTGCAGTAATTCCAAAATTCTGCCAAAATAAGAAATAACAGTTTGCATGAACCTCTGAGTATTTAAGTTCCTTTGGGATGAGAGATGGATGTCAGTATAATGCAAGACCGTGACTTTTTGGTTCTTCATCTTCTCAGAAGAACTTTTTGGTTCTTCATCTTCTCATAAAAAATACAAGAGCAGACCAAAACAGACAGGGCACGCTGGGAGTCAGAGAGAAGAAAACAGTAAGTGAGGCTGTAAGAACTCTGCTGACTGGCTGCAGCTCCCATGGAGAGTCTGCTCAGGTGAGGGGATCTGCAGATTTTACCTTCAAAAATGCAAATCCTAGAGAAAGGCTTACATTGCACTTTGAGACAGATCAGCCTATGGCTGTAGGTGTCAGCTGCTCCCTGCAAGGGCAGTTTGATTTTAGAAGAGTGAGTGAGATGATGTAGAATTATGCCATATCATTTAGCTGTGAGTCCTGCAGCACTGTCAGTGGATGGCAAATGTGGAGTGGTCAGAGACTGTTAGAGGATAATCACCTCTTCAGATGAGAAAGTCTGCACACATAATTCCCCATGGAATTCATTCTTCTGCTGTCCTTGCAGCAGCTTAGCTAATAAGAGAGTGAAAAGTTATCAAAGTGGTCCTCTGGAAAGAAGACCAGAGGAGGAGAAGGAGGGAGAGTGGAAGGAATGATTCTAAACTAAAAGAGAGCTAAGTCAGGTGGGAGGTCAGAAGAGGATGACAAAATCTTTGTTGATTTTTAGATGCATAAAGAAAATTAAATAAGGCTCTGCATTAAGTTCCTCCAGGTTTCTATATGTTTACTTATCATGTCTGTTATCTGGGCTGTTAGCACATAAATGTGCTGCTGCTCTCCACTGTTGGTGCATCAGAGCAAACAGTGAAGAGAAAGGTGCAGAGTTGTGAAATAACAAGAGTGTATTCAACAGCTGTTATGAAAGATTTAGAGAGCAAGGCCTACTGGTGCCTAAGCAAGCAGACTGTGCAGCTCCTGCTGCCAGAAGTGGTATCAGACACTTGGTTTGCATCTGGAGGGCGTGACGAGAGGCCAGGGCCAGCCAGCTCCTGTGCCGACTCAGCACGCCAGGAACATGCGGGACACGAGGGCTAGACTGGAACAGCACTTTAGTAAGCAGCTGTCAGGAGGGGGATAATCCCAGATTAGACCCAGGCATGCCCTGGGAGCAGCAGAGCACACTCCTAGCAGGGGTTTTCATCATGAATTTTTCTTTTTGCACATACTAGCTGAAAATGTGAAATGGAAACAAGTGTGTGTGTGATGGGCAATGAAAAGGAGCATTTGAAGTTTAGGAGTACAATGGAATTTTGATTGATCTGAAAACACCTGCATATTTCAAATGGTAGATTTGCATTTCAGTGCAGAACAAGTACACCTGGAACTGCCAAGCAGCTTTAAAGGAAGATGTCATTGATTCAAAGCCAAATTTGCTGATTTCTTGCCCCTGTGTTCTAGTTGGAGAGTAGCAGTTTCCCACTGACCTCATACACAAAATAGCAGCAGTTGCTGAAGAAATTCATCCTGGGATCAAACCCAGGTGAGCAAAGCTGTCAGGTGAGCTCCTGGACCTGCAGGTTGCAGTGCTGGCTGGAGTTCTGCTGAGGCCACTTAGAGCTCTGTGGGTGCAATGAACTGCAGAACTGAAAGCATCAGTGAATTCCTGACCCTATGAAAATCCATGATGTTTTTACTCTAATGATAGATTTCACCCTTTATCTACCTTGATACATGGTAAGTCAGTAGGATCCCAGTTTATTCCTACCTGGAAATAAAAGCCCAGGGGATTTTAGAAGCTGGTTAACCCATGACCACTACATTAAGGCTCCAAAACAAATGTAGCCCATTTGCTCAGGGATGACAGATTAATAAATTGTTCCACCTCATTATCCCTGTAATTCCTGATGGCATCGCTTGGAGGAAGCCTAGCAAATGACATCAGCCAAAGGTCAGCGCTCCTTTTTCAAAAACAAGATTATAAACCTTAATACAAGTATAAATGATTCAGTGGGTTTATGAAAAGGCAGTAGAAATCCCAGTTTGGGTTCAAACAATACTGATCAGTGCAATGATCCAGCCTGAGCTGCCAAGCAGAAACAAACGTGAATTCCGTTTGGCAGTGAACACTCTGCCACCAAAGCACCTCACATTTCAAATGTTGATGTTTGTATCTTTCTCTCTGAATATTTTAAGCAGGAAGAACTGCTCTGGAGAAAGGATTACAGTAGGAAAGGAGCTATAACTGTCAACCTCAGCCGTGTTAGAGATTAATACATAATGTCACTTCACTGAAAAATTACTCATATTTCACCTCTCTTTTTCCAAAGGTCTTTAATTCTCCCTCTGTAAAGGAATGTTATTTTTTGCTGTTCAATTACATTTCAACCATTCAATCAGACCCAGCTCTATATAAACGTACAGATCCCTGTTTCAGATTCCCTTGCTCAGCTTTTACTTCATGAAGAGAAGAGCTGTGTGCCAAGGTCACAACTGATTAATCTTGACCCGTGAACCTTGAAAGAATAAAGTCTTACTATAAATGTATTACTCTTCCTAGTGAAGGCAAATGTACTCTGTATCCATGACAAATAATGAACTGATTTTTTCTGGTTTTACTCTTTAGTTGCTAATTAAAGATTTAGATACAAAATCTGTTAACTTTTTGACAAATGATGTGCCTATAAAGAGAGTGAAATACCTTGGGCCTTGAGCAGGCATGATGAAGGGATCTTCTCATCAGGTATTTTGGGGAGGATGCCTTGCCAGCCCCTGAGGATGCTTAGGGAGGAGCTGCCACAGGCACACTGCACTCCTGTGATATGGATAGAATTTACAAGTGTGCTTATTTAAGGCTTCCAATGATATTGTGGCAATACTTCTGTAGTACTGGTACTTGAATATTTTAACATATGTTTCTGATATATTTCTTAGAAATTGGGCCACAGGACAGAGTCAAGTGAAATGGAGTTATTTTAGGAAAAAAGTTTTTGCTAAATGGATACTGTCTTCAAAAATTCAATTACACGGTAAATAAACTAAACCACTAAACTAAACAAAGGTCTGCGGGGAAAACAAGCAGAAAAAGACAACATCTACCTTTGGATCAGCCTTACAAAGCACATTTCTCATCGTGTGTGCTGTTCACTGGCAGGCTCTTAGGAGAGAATGAAGTATAGCACAGGCCTTACATCACCGGCACTTTTACGTTAACCAGGAGACAGCAAAGTCAAAACAAATTTACCAGGTGCTTCTTGTAACTGCAGTCAGGATGGGAATGTCTCAGCTGTGACAATGCAATCAGCTGTGCTCAGTGGACACTGTGGAATCACTTCCAGAGTACATTAGGGCAGGCTCACATGGGTGTTTGCAGCAGTTGATTCCATATTGCCCACAGATCTGAGGCCCGGTGCAAGGGAAAACATGATAAATCTATTTTTATCTTTAATCATTCATTTGGAAGCACTGACAGGCACATTAGGGACTCCTGTCTAAAATTAGCTCTGTTCATGCTGGAAGCAGCCATTTATTCTATCAAGCTATTTGTACAGTTAATGTCAGAAGACTTCTGGGAGCCGTTCTCGCTTTGTGCGAGGTTTCTCTGAAACACCCAGGTTTGTTCCTAGAACGTGGCACTGCTGGCATAATTACCATCCTACAGCTTTGGGAATCCTACGTCATTAAGCTCTCCCTTAACTTGCAGACCACAAACAAAACACGAATGGCTCTTAAGAAGCTCAGCAGTAAGAGGAGGATGGATGGCTGCAGTGTGCCATCAGGAGAGGTGCAACAGCCATCCCAAAGAGAGATGGATCATCCTTCACCTGTGACGTGCCCATGGCCACAAGGGTCCGATCTGGCAATAGTGGTTCCAGCTGCTGCCTTTGGGCCCAAGGCCAGTAATGAATTACCTCTCAGTAATAAATAAACATTCTCCTCTGCACATACTCGGATCAGATGCTCTAGGGGCACAGGGAAACCCCAGCTGTGTTTATAACACTGCACTATCAGTTCTAGTTGCCTTTTCTGAATGTATTTTCCTTCTAAAGTAGGCTTTGGAGCACTCAGGAGCACATCCAACAATCTTCCACATCTGGGACCAGCACTGGTGCTGCAGCCCTGCACGTTCCCCAGCGCTCAGGCAGCTCTCAGAACAGCCATCGGCTCTGCTCATGCCCAAAGTGCTTACAGACTCGGTGAGACTGGTTTGGAGAGATAAAAGGAGATTTTTAAAGCAGGAGTCAATTTGTGCCCGAAGTCTCCACCACTGCAGGAGACCTGACAGTGATCTCTCCTCTGGACACTGCAGCTTCACCGCCGCCTTCCCAAGAGAACACGTGTGAGGGTGAAAGGGGTTTGGCTGTCACACGAGCCCCGAGGATGGCATATTACATATTCACTATAAACTCCATCTGCTCTAAATCACCATAACTGATCCCTTCGGCCGCTCCATCCGCTGTGACTGTTCCCGTGGTTGGGTCGCTCAGCCACTGGATGTCACTGTTAGTCTGAGCACATAAACCCGAACGGCATTTGTTTGGCATTAGAAAATATTTAAAGAGGGGATGAAACCGAGCGCACTGCAGAGGGATCATCTCTTCAGATGCTGAAAGCATTTGCTCGGGTCTCACACTTGTGACAAGTTGATGGTGTAAGAAGTGCCTGATTTAATACGGGGGGGGGGGGGGGGGGGGGGGGGGGGGGGGGGGGGGGGGGGGGGGGGGAAAGGGTGGGTTTCTCTCTTTTGGTGACTTATTTACGAAGCTGGTAACAACTCGTGTGTTCCCGATTTCACTCCCCTTCTGGCGGTAATTCATGTCCCGGTAATTCGCAGGCAGTTTGTTTCTGTCCTGGTAATTCCCGGGATGAGAGCCCATCCTGTCCCGGCTCCCTGTCTCCCTCCCATGGACAGTCCCGCTAAGGGTTCCAGAGCCAGCTGCCTCAAGCACAGACACCTTGAGAGCTTCAATTCCAAATTTGATTTTCTCTGATCAAACTGTGAGTCCCAGCGACACAAAATGTCCAAATCAGGAGCTGTCACAATACTCTCTTGAGTCAGGAGAGGAGAAGGGGAAACCTTTCTTCTTTATCTCCTAAAATTTTCAAGTATCAAATACCACAGTACCAAAAGCTAAGATAATCTCATGTTCTTTTTTGTAGGGTTCAAGGCCAGAAGATACGTTTCTCCAAAGGGTGAGAAAATTTGCTCTGGCAAAGGGACTGTGTGAGCACAACTTGCCAGAACGAGCGTAACAGCAGGTAACAAGTGCAGGGTAATAAAGAATCCATCCTTGGAGAAGGCAAGGAATGTAAAATGAACATGGAAAATCCAGAAAATAATAGTAATAATAATAGTAGTAATGACAATAAATAATCCAACTCTACAAGCTAGATGATGTGAATCTTACTGTTAAATCCTGCGTTTTGGGGAGGTCCCAAGCACCCTGCCAGGAATCAGTGGCAGGCCATGCTGAACAGACACCTGACTGCCAGCTGTGAACTGCCCCTGCAGGGACAGGGAGTTATCTTGGAGTAAAAACTGACTGCAATTCATAAGGTCTAGGGGGAAATCTGCTGTAAAGAAATACAGAATCACTTGATAATGATGGTCAGGAGCAAAAAAAAAACACCTCACTTTTCATCACCAATGGTGACAAAACAGCCACTGACAAAATCTACAGAACAATCTAGATAAAGTTCTCTTTAAATATAAATTTGGGGTTGTTTTGGAACTGTAGATAAACATTGGAAGATAATTTTAAAATTAAAAACACCAGACCTGAACGTCACCAGCTCTCAAGACTATATAAAAAAAAAAAAATCAAATTTGTGGTAACTGCTTTTAAGTCCATGATACCCAACTAGAATCGATGCAATGGGGTTGGGTCCATTTTCTGGATGCTACACACTCTCTGTGCATTTATTTCCTACTGTAAAATTAACAGCATAATTTTTCAACACTTCTCCAACCTAAAATAGAAAGGCATTTAATTATCCAGTTGACATTCTATGAAACCATTATGAGCTCTTTATCTCCAAGAACGACCCTTTCAGAGCAGCACTGACAGAAGGGACAGGCAGCAGACCTGCCAACACAAGGTCACCTTCCAGCACTCCCTGCGGTGACACGGTGGGTCCTGACCCAGCTCCCTGTGCCCTGTGGGGATGGCCCTGCCTGCAGCTCAGTGCTCCCCACGCTCCAGGGAAGCCTGAGCACCCCACAGATCCCTCCCAGCAGCTCCAAGCAGTTTGACTTCATCTCTGCCAAGTCTGATGTGCACAATGTCATTGTGACACTGCTGGGAGGTGAGTCTGCACCTGACAGTCACTGAGAGACAAGAGGAGGCCTCATAATATCAATATATCAAAGAGCAGAAGAAAAGTATTTGAAGAAAAGATATGTGAAGCAATTTTATTTAAGAGGCTGAGCAATTAGTTTTACAATTATTTAAAATAATGCATTGCTCTGAACCAATACTGTAATTTTAACACAGGTATAATCACTGTAAATGACATTAAGAGCTTGTCTACAGGCAAATTGCATTGCTTTGCTTATAATGGGATTGTTGAAGCTCAGCAAATCCCCAAGCCAGATATGGCTGAAATCACAGAAAGGGAAGCAAAAGAAGTTATTCCAAAACCCTAAACCACCTTGGGCTTACACTGACGTGGCTTTTTCAGTCAAAAGAACTCCTAGCTAACCAAAAGGTTTGGACTTGAAGGAAAGCAAGGGATACACCAACCCAAACCACGGAACTGTGAAGGCAGCAATGCTGAAACTGGTTCATTGAAGCTTGCAAGAGAACCTTGAGCCAGTGCCATTAGTGTTGCCTTTTAACAGCCCTTCCACAAGGCTGCACAGCAGCTTGGGAAGAGGAGACTGGAACGTGCCAAAGTGCAAGGGGTGGCTGTGCAGAGTTCAGACTCCTGACACAGCCCAGCAGAGCTCCAGAGGATGTCTGTGCCAAGTGACACGGCTGGCAGGGACCTGCAGAGGTGATGCTCCAGACGTGCTGAAGACCTTGTAATAATAGCCTACAAAACCAGTGGAGAGAAATCTCTCACCTTGAAAAGAAAAGTTACAAGAACTGCTAATCTGACAATCCAGAACCTGTGTTTGTTTCCCTTTAACTCCTAAAGAAAGTGGAAAATAAAAAACCAACAGCGAAAGGTACACCTGAACAGCCAAGAAAAAAGGAATTGCAGCACACAGCAGTTCTTAGAATGAAAATTCCATAGTCAGACTGATATCAGTCCCATTGCAGGAGTTCGAGCATGGTCCCTCAAACTCCCCTCAGGTCACACAGAGAGGGCATCCCTGGGCACAGGACAGGTGTGCAGCCTCAGTTCCAGCAGGTGTGTCAGGAACACAGCGCTGAGTTTTGGATCAGAACTGATGCCAGGGGAAACACCCTGTTCTGCAAACACTTCCCTCAGGTCAGTGGGAAAAGATCTAAAAGTCCTGGCCACTGAAGCTCATGGCAAAATTCCCAATTATTTAAGTGGAAACAGAAGAGAGTTCAGACCAATAACTACCTGCACCAGTTCTGTCTCCAAAGGTGAAAACTAGAAATGAGAAGTGACCTAAATATTCAGAAATTACTTAGTGACTGTTAGCAAGTCTATTTTTGAGTGGGTAACTGCAAACTCCTCAAAGAAACTTGATCACCAGAGATGAAGCTTTAACAAGGCAGCACCTTTTAATGGATTTCAGTTAGAGGCACATAGAACCACTAATCACATCAGTGAGAAACTGGGTCAAAGTTAGCCCCATCTTCCCCAAAGTGATGTAAGACTAGATTTAAGTGTATATATATTTAAATTAATATTTAATTATATATTTGTATATAATTTTGTATTCTACTTAACAGAGATGGCAAAATACAGTCGAGCTGAGACCTTTTTGGATGGTATTCACTAAGGGACAACAGTAAAAATACCAGCTATGGGGCATTTTTTGATAAGTCCACTTTCAGCCCTGTTCTCAATAGATAAAAACATCTATATTAATTAGTGAGTCAAAAAGCCCTCTACAATTCCTAACACACTGGGCAGAGACATGGATATTTTGTACCTGTTAATAAACAGATAAAAGATGCAACACGGATGTAAGCAAACACATTGATCTGTTACTTGTGGCTGCACAGATCTGTAAACAAGAAAATAGGGATAAATGAAGATATATTATTTTCCACCGACATTTCCAAGCTGCATCATTTATTTTCCCACATGTTCACGAGGAGTCCTAAATTCAAGGCAGTTTGGCACAGAGAGCCATCAGAGGACAGCCCCTGGTTCACGGAGCTCCGTGTTCACTGTGAGCTGTGCTGTCGGACTGCTCGAGGAGCAGCTGGTTAAGGTTCCATTTGCAGATGTTGCTCACCACTAGTGCCTAAAGGTGACATGCTCACTAAACAGGCCTGCTGCAAACAATACCAGATAAGACATAAAAGCCATATTGGATTACCCAGTCCACATCTCCAAATGCTACAAAAATAAATGCCAAACGCTGGGGGGTTTCGTCGCTTGCAGCATTCAGCAGCCTTTCCATTATGCATTGCCTGATCCTTTGCCAGATTTCTTAAGGAAAACCAAGAGCTAGGATGAATAGGAAGAGCTGGTCTGTGGCCACACTGTGGGAGCTGGGAAGGCAGAGGCTGCTGTTCCACTTGCCCTAACGCCTCACTTGGCCCTTCCTTACTTGCTCTACCCACTTTTCAATATCAGCCTCCTGCTCGTGCAAGTCTTACAGATAACAATGATATCAGTGTTATTAGGTTTATTAACTAGCCTTAATGCCAGCAGTAAATCCAGGATCCCAAAAGTGAATTGGGACTCCTGGGAAGGGGCAGCATCCCCGTGCAGAGACATGGAACACATGGA